ATATTGTGACACGACTCCTGAGGCAGGAATAGCGAAGCCAGGGAATATGTCCGTTGCTAGGCAACGGCTCGGTAAGCACATTTCCGGACAAATAGAGGAACTGGTGGAATCGTTGCTTTCTTTGAGGTGCTCTAATATGTTACGACCTAGGCTGTCTAACAACATCCACGCAGGTGGTTGTGTTCCGGCCGCCACCTTGGTGGCTCCCGGCAGGAGGGTCTGATTGAGGGGCTCGCTGAGTATCCTATTGCCTCCCACTAGAAGCTGCTGTTTGATATCTCGGTCTCTTATCCCGTCGACGATTCTATAGCCTACTTCCTTATGAATGTGTCTTAGGCCCTAAGATACCGCGGTTGTCAGAGATCGAGCATCGCGGGACTAAGCAGTCACTACTTGTGGTTATAGTAATACGAGTTCAATAAATTCAGTATTCAATCCGAACCCTGTGACTTGTGGCCTGAAGCTGAGAAGAATAAGAAGCCGATTCGGGAAACCAGCTATCCTGAGGGCTTCGAGTTTTTCGGCTTTAGGCAAATTCGCTTAAGTCTCGACTAATTCCTTCCACATCCTTTCCTGCGCGACATTAACCAGTATCCTGATTATTCGATGCTGACGTCGCAAAATATTCCACAAAAAGGCCAAGGTTTCATTCCCGGCAAGTCTAAGAACTTTTCTTTCCGCACCACGTCCAGACTGGCTCTGGGGCCCATCCAACGTCCTATCCATTAGGCACGACGGAGTGTGTGGCTGACATGATACATTCATCTAGTGTCGAAATGCAGAGCGCATGGAGCTTAAATTCCACTCCCCTAGGCTCCTTCATGGTGTGGTGTTTTATTAAAAAATAAAACACAGATAAACATTGGGTTATAAAAGTGTGACATCTTCTGTAGGCTTACATATAACTTCTAAGGGCCCCCATACACACACAGTTTGGCCTCCAGTTCGGCCTGCACAGTTGAAGACTGAAAGGCAAAACTGACGTGTGTGGTGCGGCCGGCCGGCCAATCGTTTGGACTGTTGGCCTGTGGGAAACCCGTCAGTCCGTCAGTTCTGCCTGCAGGACCGTAGCACGTGACGTGTGTGACTCAACATTATAGGCTGGAAGACCGTGATTGTGGCATGAAGCCTGCCGGTTTATCTGCGGTGTATGGGGAGCAAAGGGAGGGGGTAAACTGTCACAGTTTTGTCTGTAAGGTCGATCGGAAGGCCAAACTGTGTGTGTGTGTGTATGGGGGGCCTGAGGTACGATATTACAAGCCAGGCAGGTCTCTTAACTGCCTTCTCACACGTGACGTACATTTCAGACTTCCTCTAGACATGCGGGGACAACGAGAAGAGATTTCCTGCTGAAAATTTAGATGCCTGTTCGGTCGGTTTTCTGAGAATGCTGACTTGCCATTCAGCTTCGTGCCTCTTCAGATTGGGAATTCGCCAACTGTTAATAAAATCCGAAGCTTATTATAGGAAACTATCATCAATCAGCTCCATTCATGCCACTTTCCTCAAAACATTTCCAAAGATCCATCTCTATATTATGCCTCCATTTCAGACACGCGCTTTCCAGGACGTTCTCCACAAGAATGCTTCATGCACGACTATTCATGGTTTCAGAATTCATTATAAAACACAAGAGGATAACGCGAATAATTCATTAAAGCTGAACTGTATAGAACACACACATGCCAGCACATACGTGTTTGTGGTGTGTGTGGGGGGGGGCGCCGTGCCCAACATGGGGTAGTTATAAGCATATTCCGATAAAATTCAAACTCCTGTTCATGCAACAAGCAGAATGATAGGGACAAAATAATATTTTACTGGATAAATATTTACTGTGGGGGCACGCGGTAGCGTAGTTGGTTGAGGCATTATGCTACAAACCGGGAGGTCGTGGGGTCGAATCCCGATGAGGTGGACATTTTTTTTAATTCATTCAATCCTTCCAGTCGCACTATGGCTTCGGGGGCGATTCAGCCTCTAACAGAAATGAGTACCAGGAATATTCCTGGGAGTAAAGGGCGGCCCGTACGTAAGGCTGACAATCTCACCGCCATCTGTGAGCCGACCGTCTATAAAATGTGGGAGCCTCAACATCTCACAACCTTATGGATCTTCATGGCCTGTTACAGGGATAACATTACATTTTTTAATGTTTACTGTGTTTTCAATTAACTAAAATTCCATGGTTGCAGCTGACAACAGCTCATCTTATCAAAACATTTCCCTCCTTTCATGGATTCGAAAGCCAGACGTTAAGCGAAAAAACATTTAAGAAGAATGAAGGATCTGAGATTCTCGCAGCAGTGATTATGAAGAGTTCTATCTTCTGCGATATAACGCCGTGTAGTCCGCTGAATGTAAAGAACAGCCGTTTCGGCAAGTCGATTGTTCTGTTTGACATCTACTTTCAAGCCAATTTCTTGCTTCGTTTATTCTTCGACCCTGAAGATGGAGGAGATATGTTTTTCCGAAACGTCTGTTGACTACACGGCGTTATAATTCAGGAAATAGAAATCTTCAAGAATAGAAACGGCAGAAATGCGTTTCCTTAGGGCAGGCGCTCGGCTGAGAAAGATGGGCTCGTAAACTTGATGAAGAAAACTAATTGGGGATCTGGGAATAGCAAACAGCCTATCAACGCAGTGAAAATATTGTGGCATATCCTCTGAGAACTGTAACAGCTTAATCAGAAGTCCGTTACTAGGTTACGGCACAATAAACACCACATAGGCGCAGAGGTTATATCTGGAGAATACAAACACAGCGAAGTCAGTCAAGAGTCGAGCAGTGTTCCAGCTCGCAGGCAGGGAGGCCGAGACAGTCGCCCATTGTCGACCGTTGCATAGCAACATCTAGTTAGTTGTGAGACAGATGCCAGCCAGCAAGGAGCTAGGAGCCGCCTGCCACCGAAGACGTGAGCAGAAGAACGCCCAATGTTGGAAGGCGTTACCCGGCAGCGTAGTGAAGACCGTGACTGCAAACACTAGCCTGTGCGTGACAGTGATTAGTGAAGTATAGACACGAATCAGGGGTCTTGAGACAGACGTTAGGGAGTGCGGTTCGTGAGCCGCAAGGGCATGAATAATAACGCTTGTTACAAGACTGTAACCGGGCAACGACTAGTGGAGGCTGTAACAAGCTGAGAAGACTAATGAGGGTTATAGGGATTTGTGCAGCGCAATAGTTACTTCTAATTTCGAGTTTTAAGTTTGCAATATATTCAAAAACCAACCCAAACCCCGTCTATAGTCACTTATCCCATGATAATATCAAAAGAAAATGATTAGAATGTTCGGAAACAATGCTTGAAAATCTTTTTTCCAAAGCTGCTACGTCAATATAAACGGAATGGTAGTTGCTAGAGACATCAAAGATTTTTAATCTTTGTAATCGAATGGAACAACAGTTTTATTCGTGACGATGGCAACACGCTCAAACGTACGAGTTAGACATTGTTATCATCCATGCAATGAACCAGGTTCGATTCCAGGATGGGCGATGTGGAATTCATAGTGGACGAAGTTGTATTGGGGCAGATTTTTTTTCCTGGCAGTTTCATCATACCAACCATAATTCCATCAACAATCCATATAAAATTACCACCCCTGGTGTGCGAAACAGGCCCGACTAGCCATCATACGCCGCCTTGGTCCAAGCTTGGAGGGCTTCACCTCTAACGCGGTACTTAGTCCAGAAAGATTTCAGGGCTACGGGATGCACGACCAAAATTCGATGCCCGGCAGAGTAATTGCAAATTTTCTCCTACACCTAAAATCGCCCTAGGACTCAGTCTCCTACATAATGGGAACCGGAAGCAGATAATTCAGAGCGTGAGCTCACCACAGGGCCAACTCCTAGCACATATGGGCGTTATGGGATATGGATGGTGAACCAATGCCAGATTTACAGGAATAAAGCGGCGCCAACAGTCCTCGTTGCTCCAGTACCAAGTGAATATCTGCTGATGCATATTATCACAAATTTTCAATTCTTAACTTCTCCTTGGCTTTGGCAGCAACACAACCGACACTCAATTTTTCGTTTGAGACGGGTTTTAGCTTACTTTCTTTATTTTGGAAAAAAGTAGGGTTATGAGATCACTTTGCCGTCTGTGTCCCCCCCCCAATAAACTAGAATAGTGGAGTCAGGGGAGACGGCTGTTGCTAGGCAAAGGCTCCGCAAACACGTTCCAGTTGCAACGAATACTCAAGCAACAATAGATGAACTGCTGGATACGGTGTTTTATATGCGGTCCGTACCGAAGGCAACCCTAGGTCAGTCGTTCGGATTGCTGTTGGCCCTCTCCAAGCACATTAATTCTTGGTTTCGAATCCAGTCGGGACCCATGACTGTATTTCTCTTTTCAAGAATTTTGAGTGTTTAAATATATAAACATATCATGGGAAACCAGTTGAGCGCAGCTCCCACATTCACAACCTCCTTTCGAGCTGTTATCAGACTAAGAGCATTGGTACACATTTCTTGGTTTTACAGATGCGCATTAAATGTCTTGCCCATGTGCACTTTTCAAATTGACAGCTTCATGCTGCAGTGTAGTTGGCCCGGTTAGCATTCTCGCATCGCACACGGAGAGTATGGGTTCGTGCCCCTTTTGCTAAACCGGCTATTCCTGTAGTTTCCTTCAATTCATCCAAGCAGATAATGGGACAGTGCCATAAATTATGTTAATATCGATCCGTATCACATCCTAATTCAGCATTCATAACCATTCTCTCACACAAAACAAGAAAACAATTCCATTCATCTTGTTTCTTTATTCCTACATTTCTTTCTCTCTCCCCATCCTGCCGTTCTCCTTCTCTCTTCCCATTCTACTATTCTTCTTTATCTCCTCTTCCTATTATTTGTTTCCTTCCCTTCCCTTCCTACAATTCATTCTTTTTCCCCTCTCTCCATCCCGCCTTTCTTCTTTTCTCTCCCCTGTTAACCTTCCTTCTTTATTCCCTTGTTTCTCTCTTTCCGCCTTCCTACAATTCTTTTCCTCATTTTTCCCCATTCTGTCATTTTCTCCTTTTTGTCTCCTCCACCTTTCAATACTTATTTTTCCTTCTATCTTTTCCTTTAGATTAGTGGCACTAGGAGGCTCTAATACTGCATGACCTGTGCTGCAGTAAAGCCATACACATGCGCAATGAGTAGCGTCAATCGACCGGCGTGAGGAAACGCAAGCTATTTGGTGCAGTGTCACGGGGCTGGCTGTGACAGCGGGCAACTGTCATGTAGGCTGTGCATCATCACGTGGTTGAGGTACCCTCAAGAACATTGCTCAATGGACCCGAGGCCTTCTAGATCCCACAAGCAGCAATAGCAATCAATTATCTGTAATAACGTCTTCCATTCTGTGTGTCCGAGCCATTTGTCAGAATCGGGTTTTTGTTATGAGACCGCCGCGATATTGTCGTTTTCTTCGGCGCTGTGTCTTCCTTGTGGTGGGAATCACTATTGTCCCCGCGGTGTTCATGATCCTCGCCGGCAGTGAAGCGGGGGTCGGCCGTCTGCACCACCAGTCCGCCTCGCAACACAAGGTAACCTAAACTACACGTATATCACTCCATGAAGCATATTTCTTGAGAGAGGCTGCTCAACAAATTTCGTCTCCCTTACGAAACGCAGGGTTCACTACTGTCTTCACATGATTCCGCCACTACACCCCCTCGGGAGCCAGTCCACACCCTCGCACATTATTTCTTTAGGATACATTTTAATAGTACACTCCCATTTATGCCAGGGTCGTCCAAGCGGTCTCTTTCTTCCAGGTCTTCCGAGTTCTTCAACTACACCATGCGTGGTACATACACCGTTCTCCTTGATAAGATTACTATAATCATATTTCGTTAATAGTACAATGTATGACGCCCGCGTTATGGCGTATGTAATGTTCTTTATCTTCCTCTCTTAGGATGAAACCTAAGACATAAGTTTCAAACCCATACAAAAATAACAGGTAAAGTAAGCTTTTTAAACGGCATATTGCAAAAGATTCTAAACTAACTGGCAGCAAGCACTCCCTGACTTCAATCTGTGCATGTCTGCTCTGTGAATGTGATTCTGAGGTGTTACTGTGGCTCTCAACTATAAAAAATTCCCACAATTACCAAAAAATGTAGACTGCCACACTACTAAGGGGTTTTTGCATGAATACTATGTATCAAACGCATGATAGTGAGATTCTCTGTGTCCATGGTTCCTTTTTATTTCATCCAAAACTACGTTCCAGATTTCGACAAAATCTTGTATTCCGAGATAAGCACTAATTACATTTTGTTCCGAATTTAGACAATTATAAGCTCATACCTAATGATGAACTTCATACCTTGTACTCTTCGCTAAATTATAATCAGAACGACCAAGTCAAGGAGGATGAGATGGGCAGGATATGTGGCACGTATGGGGTAGAAGGACTTGCATACAGGATATTGGTGGGAAAATGAAAGAGACCACTAGGAAAACCTAGACGTAGTTGGGAGGATAACATAACAAGAAGTTCTAGGATGAATAGCCTGCTTTCCTCTGATACAAGCACAGCACAGAAAACGAAAAAAAAAGGGGGGGGGGAAGAACCCAACCACACAGACAGCAAGGTGATCTAATAGACCTAATAAAATTATAAGGGGACAGACAGACAGCAAGGCGATATCATAAGCCTAATTATAATTTTTAAAAACAATGAAAGTAGTCTAAAAATGCATCTGAGAGAAATTGGATGGGGTGGCATGGACTGGATTGATCTGGCTCGGGATAGGGACCAGCGGAAAGCTCTTGTGAACAGAGTAATGAACCCTCGGGTTCCATAAGATGTTGGGAAATTTGTTATGTAGCTAAGGGACTGGAGGCTTCTCAAGGACTTAGCTCCATGGCGTTAATAGTTATAAGCTCATATCTTATATGAAGCTGAAATTGAACTTCATAAATTTACCAAAACTGTGAAGAAAGTCGTCTTCTGGGTTTAGGCACCGTGTATTCTTCGTTTTGGCCGACGTTTCGGAGGAACGTAGCGCCTCCATCTTCAGAGCATTTGAATGGCTTGGAATGCGGAGAGCAGTAGCTGTAGCTACTGTAGCCGAAACGTCGGCCAAAACGAAGAATACACGGTGCCTAAACCCAGAAGACGACTTTCTTCATTGTCATCGCCGTGAAAACCTCAAAACTTACATTACCAAAACTGTCTTTGCGTAAAAAGGTAATGGGACTCTATTACGTGAGATACAGACGTAACTCAGATCACTTTCCGATATGGAGCTTATTCATCGAAATCCTAAGGAAGCGTTAGCTATTTATATCTCCGTGTAGTGTAACACCTTCGCTGTCAATAAAGTCAGTCAGCAACAAAATTTATGATTATGCAGCGATGCGTCTTTGTATAATATTATTATTCCTGGAGGGATTAATAAAACATGAAGAAATAAAAAACCTCTGTCGTAAAATCCGGGCTTCCTGCAGAAATTCCAACTTTACTAAAAGGTTTTAGAAAAAGCATTTTCTCACGTTTTGATAAAAACACGTCACCTTACCAGAAGATTCTTCATTCGTTGCGGTTTATATAGCTCGCAGTATGCAGCGCCGACTGGTAAGACAAATAACAATCATGAATTGTAAGGAATATGGATGGAAGCGTCGCCACATAATTAGATTATTATCCCGAAATTTGTCTGCAGGGACTTTGGAAACAACGAAACACTTTAGTGAGGACTGCCGATGTCCTGGCAGAGATTAGAACCTTATACCTCCAAAATATAAGTCAAAAGCGTTACCTCTTGAACCAACCTTTTCAACGAAATAAACTGAATCCCATTTACTGTTTGATTCAAAACTGGAGAATCCCGCCAACATGCACCAATTCTGCAGTGTTGCCAGTTCTACCAACATTCGACAATGCCACTTTGTCGACTACAAATTCCAGAAGATTGAGTTAAATACGAGAAATGTTTTAATTCCCTCGTCCTTTCAATTTTACTTTACAACATCCAAATCAGGCAGGCCGGTTTGTTTATATGGATACTTCTTAAGTAATATGAATGCCATGAATATCGCAAAAATTCTCATACGGAACAGTACAAATTTGCTCTTGAAGTAAACACAGATAAAGCTAAATGTATGAAGACGAGACGATACCAAAATTGGGCATGAAGTCCATGCAACATGTAGTTAATCATTTATGAATATTTCGAAACGTATCTTGTAACAGCAGTGACAAACACAAATGAGATTCATGATGAAATTATACTAATGTATACATTATATTCGAGACAGCGTCTGTTGTCTAGTGGATAGAGTTTTTGCCTACAAGTCTAGAGGTCCCGGGTTAGATTCCTGGCGCTGTCAGATTTTCTGAGAAGTAGTGGGTCCGGAACGGGGTCCACTCAGCCTCGTGAGGATAATTGAACTATTTCAAGGAAATAGCGGCTCCGGTCTAGAAAATCGAGATTAACGGCCGTGGGGATTCACTGCGCTGACCACGCGACACCCTCTAGCAGCAAAAATTGACGCTAACTTCGCCGACAAGCGGCGGTCGCTCGTTCGGTATAGTTCGCGTGCGGACTACACGCTACGGAGTTTTTTATACATCATGTTCTCACTGGTGCACTAGCAATATTTTGAACTCTGCAAAGTAGGCAGTACCTTCTGGTCTTCCTTCCCTCACATCTACTTAGAATACGTTTGCTTCTAGTAAACAAAACGATTCCTTATTGATATTCAATGAGATGTTTCATCGTTCTAGTTCTTTTGTTTGACATATCTACGCAACGGGCAACCGCCTGCATTATCAGTCCTCTTCCTGACGCATGTAGAAGAGAGGATGGGTCCAGAAGTGTACTGTTTGGTACAATAAATACTGTTACGACTGACTTCACGATGCTGAGTCCTTCTTGAGAAGGTGATAGCAATGCAGTTGTTCAATATATTCTCGATCGTTTATAGAATCCTACGGTTCATCATAGCATACAAACGGGCCCATCACTGGCCCATGTCTCAACCCGATAAATTCAGTCCAAACGATCATACCGTATTTCTTTAGGATCCATTTTAATGTTGTTCTCTATCTTAGCCCGAGTCTTCCAAGTGGCTTCCGGTTAAAATTTTGAAAACATTTCTTAACTCTATGCGTGTTACATGCCCCCCTATCTCATCTTCCTTCATTCGTAAGGTGGAGTAAGGCAAAGCTGTCCCTATGCTTAACTAATTAAGCACTACGCCATGAAGGCGTATGGGGGATTGGCTGTATAGAGCCACATTTTCTCGACCTCGGTATTTGTTGGAGGTGAGCGATCAGTTTCATGCCACGGCCGCTTTACCCCACCGGGATGGGCTCAAAAGCTAGTCTGGACGAAGTGGAGAAGCGAATACTCTTGCCTCCACCAGGACTCGGAACTCCGACTCCTCGGTCGTCCAGCCAGTAGCCAGTCGCCATACTGACTGAGCTATCCCGGCCCCTCCCCCTTCACTGGAACACTACTAATATGTGATAAGGAGTCTAAATTATAAAATCTTCTTAATACTCGACGAAATACCACAATATTCCTGTTAAAATACACTTTTGTCATAATGCACTCTGTCTCTCCAGCATATTCCAGTCGCAACCCCCACAATTTCATGTAAGAGAGTTCGAAATTTACTGTTCTACGTTTCTCAGTTCTATGTCGAGGCAATTAACAAGTGTCCGTCGCACCACATCGAGTATCATGGAAGAGCGACATCCGTTCGAATTCCTCGTAATTCTTCTGGGTAAGTTCGACGAGAAGAATGACGAAAGACAAACAATGTTTGTTTTCATCGTATTACAATTAAGGCAAAAGGAGGTTAAATTCCCAATATGGTCACAAGAAAGACGCGAACCCAGAAGCAAAGTAACATTCGAATTGGAAGCCGCTACCAAAGAACGTAACTGAGGACACTAGTCTGTGTGATCGTGATCAGCGAAGTGAAGTCACGAGCTGTAATATCCAACAGTCAATCTAAACTCCGCTTATTGTCAATTAAACGCGTAAAAATATTTGCATGTCTGAGAAAAGACACTAAAAACATGGCTTTATACTCGTCTGGTCCACAAAGTAAATACATTCCTGAAGCTGTAAATTCTTGTGTGGGCCATTTAATGACACCATCAGCACTAGACCATACAGTGTTGGACGGCAGGATGACTGAATTGGAAAGGATTTGGAAGGGAGCAGTCGCGGCCATATCGAGAGACTATGCCGCAATTTTGGGCACGAGGTAGCGTAGTTGGTTGAGGCACTATGCTACATGCCGGAAGGTCGCGGGTTTCATTCTCGATGAGGTCACTGGATTTTTCAATGACCTAACCCTTCCAGCCGCACTATGGCCTTGGGGTCAACTCAACCTCTAACAGAAATGAGTACCAGGAAGATTCCTGGGGGTAAAGAGCGGCTGGTGCGTAAAGCTGGCAACCTCACCGACATCTGTGAGCCGACCGTGCAGAAAATGTGGCAGTCTTGATGTTTCACAACAACATGGGCCTCCATCGCCTGTTACAGGGACAGCGTTACCGTTTTCTACCCCGCAATCT